ACCTTGATCGAACGACAACGGGTTAACATTTCGATAAGTTCGAAATAACACCCTTTAAGGCCAAGGGCCTTCGCCAAAAAGAAAAGTTCGACCTTGATCGAACGACGACGGGTCAATATTTTGATAAGTTTGAAATAACACCCTTTAAGGCCAAGGGCCTTCGCCAAAAAGAAAAGTTCGACTTTGATCGAACGACGACGGGTTAACATTTCGATAAATTCGAAATAACACCCTTTAAGACCAAGGGCCTTCGCCAAAAGAAAGAGTTCGACCTTGATCGAACGACGACATGTTACTATTTCGATACGTTCGAAATAACACCCTTTAAGGCCAAAGACCTTCGCTAAAAAGAAGAGTTCGACCTCGATCGAACGATGACGGGTCAATATTTCGACAAGATCGAAATAATACCCTCTAAAGCCATGGGCCCTCGCCAAAAAGAAGAGTCCGACATCGATCGGACAAAAACGGGTTGATATCCATATAAAAGTTTGAAACCGCACTATCGGGGCTACGGCCCATTGCCTAAGAGAATTTGAAGTGTTCCTAAGGCCAAGTGCCGTCTGAAAATATAAAGGGAAAGAAAGACAGGGACTCGCAATGCGGGAATCTACCTCTCACCAAAGTCGCGAAAAGCAAAAACATAGAAAAGCACAAGGCGAATAACAACGAAAAATTCTTCTTTATACTAAGTCACTGCGCAAATAGTCGCAGATTACATATGACCTGGATTAATAGTCAACATCACCACCATCGATCTTTTCACTCGGCGTCACCATCGCCACCCTCTTCATTACCATCTCTAAGCAATTCTCCCTCGGCATCGGCACCCTCATCCGCGATCCATACTAGTCGACCTCCCCATCTGAATTTCTCGAGCTATGATTAATGAAGTCCGCTCACCGAGCTCGACCAAGAGACGACCTCGATAAGCGGAGGGACTAACTGTATGGGTCAAAATTAGATCGGAGAAATTCGGCACACGGAGACATAAGGCCGAGGTCGGACAGGCCGTGGTCGGACAATCATTAATTAGCCGTGGTCGGACAGTCATCAATTGGCCGTGGTCGGACAGTCATCAATTGGCCGAGGTCGGACATTCATCAATAAGGCCAAGGTCGGACAATCATAATTAAAGCTGAGGTCGGATAGGCCGAGGTCGGACACTCATCAATAAGGCCGAGGTCGGGCAGTGATGAAACAACTAGTTTGCTTCAGAATACTCAAAAGGAATATTCTACCGAATATTCCCTCTAAATTGTACCTTTTTCTAGGATTTTCTATGGATACCCCCTTATAAATAGGAGGGGAGGACTTCCCCAAAAAGGGGTCTCTCTCTCTCTCTCTCTCTCTCTCTCTCTCTCCCTCTCCCTTTTTCTAGAAAATATGTAAACACACCTCTCCAAATAGATGAGAGGATATGTGATCCCATACCTTCATCAGATCCAAAAAGGGTCCTAAGGTTCTTGTATTTGTCTATCATTCATCTTTATCAAATGAAAGAAAATCTGACTCACTCAAGATATCGGGTGAATCTTTTCCTTTATTTATATTTTATTGCCACTTAATGTTACTTAATGCATCTTTCTTTATGCTATTAAATCTGGTCATAATAGCCGTCAACATTTATACTCGGCTATATTTTTTAATTCGTATTATTCATCTCGGATCTAGAGTTAATTACCCTTATCTAGGATTTACCCCTTCATCTTCGATTGATTTGTTTAAAAAGGTTTTAATATATTTTGAGTCAAACTAGTGTATTTGTTTTACTTGCCACTTGCCCATGTAACCCTTGTACTTTAGGAAATTGTTCATTGTGGCAGGGCATTTTTGTCTTTTTTCCTTTTACGGTAGAAGTATTTGTAAACATCGAATGCTATTTTAGATAATATCGCATAATTGTCTGTTTCAATAACTTTTTCCACGTATACAACTCATATTTATCTTTTTATTTCCTTTCGCACGAAAATTGTTTGTTATTCCTAAAAATCAGATTTGGATAGTGGTGACACTCAGTTTACCCCTCAGCCTAAGTATTTTTGAGTAAAAAAAAAAAAAAATCCAAAGAATTTCTTTTGGTGCTTAAAATCCTCAAGTGACTCTATTCTACTTTTTCATCATTGGGTTCAACTAATTCGGATTCGCACCGGGAAGTCCCACATTGAAGATAAAGCGCTTCCTGATAAAGGCGATTTCATACTCAGGGGCTCAAACTCGAGACCTCTGGTTAAAGATGAAAGTGTATTTACCGATTTAACATAACCCTTGTTGGTGTGTGTCGTTAATTCTTATATTTACCATTTGTTTTGAATTAAAATACCAGATATTTCACTTGTGTCTCTAATTCATTTTTTTTTTTTTTTTGCAATCTTAAATTTTACTAAATTTCGGAGAATCGCCAACATTTAGTAGATCACTTATTCACTTAAGGTAGCTTGCTCACTGGAAAATCAATTTATTATCAAACTTATAGTCGTTTTGGCCAAGCTTATTTTTGACAAAAAGTGCTTTTTTGGCTAAAAATATTTTTAGCCAAAAATTGAGGTGTTTGACCAAGCTTTTAGAAGGAAAAAAAGTGCTTTTGAGGAGAAACAAAAACAGTTTTGGAGAAGCAGAAAAAAGTAGCTTCTCTCCAAAAACACTTTTTTGAGAAGCACTTTTGAGAAAAATACACTTAGGAGTAATTTTTTAAAACTTGGACAAACACTAATTGCTGCTCAGAAGTGCTTTTTAAACTAATTAGCCAAACACAAACTGCTTCTCACCAAAAGCACTTTTGAGAAGAACACTTTTAAAAAAAAAATACTTTTCAAAATAAGCTGATATTTACAGCTTGGCCAAAAGGGCTATTATAGTTCCTCCCTTCTAAATAAAGTTTCCGTTGTATCTATCTATAAAATCATTAATAGTATTTATTTAAGGACCAAAATTAGAGAGTAGAGTATAAAAGCAATTTAAGAGTTTAAATTCACAATGAGTGCCCAAAAGAAATATTGACCGCGCCTCCCTCCCCACTCCACCCCCTCTCTTCTCAGACGACCCTATTTCACCAAACCTTCCATTTCTTTTTTCAAGACAAGATAAAAACAGCTTTCACAAGTTTTGTAAAATAACGGTCATATTGCTGACCCGCAGCTGACACACTCTCACAACGGCTATTTTTACCTTTCAAAATTTCTAATCCCATTACTGTACAATAGTAATCCTTTCTTGCGATTTGTACACAACCTCTCAAATATATTTTGAGAACGTTTATGTTAGAATTTTGGCGGATTGTTCATTTACTGCTTATTTGCATACTCGTCTAATTGTTTATAGGGAGGGCTATATGCTAAACTTAGGTGATGCACCTAGTTTACAATTAAATCTTCCTTGAATATATAGGGAATTGCATCAAGAATTAATCAAAGAATGTAGTTAAGTCTAAATTGTCAAATTGAATGGGAATTTTAGAGCCTCAACTTAACTAAAGAATTAATTCCTTTAATAATTCACCTAACTGTTATTTGTTGTGCTAAGTCTATTTGCTATGCAAACACTTAGGAATATTACACCTAATCAAAATGCCTACTTGTTGTATTTGCGTGTATAATGTTTAGTTGCTGCAGATATTATTCAAATTTCAAACCAACAAAAAAGAAATGCCGACTTGAGTGTACTATATATGTTTAGTTGCTACACATATTATTTAGGGGATTAAAAAGACTTGTTTGCTTACTTGCATTTTCATATATACTTAACTAATAAAGTATCTCAATCAAATCCTTCACTTTAAACACTTGTACAAGCCTTAATTAAAAAAATTATATGTCCATAAGGGAAACGGGTTTATGCAAATCACAGGTGACTCACACAACAATAACAACCCAATATAATCTCACAAGTAGAGTTTGAGGAAGGTAGTGTGTACACAGACCTTACCCTCACCTTGAAGTAGAGAGACTACTTCCGATAAACTCTCGGTTCAGATGTGCCTCACATGTTTTCCATTATTCACTTGAATATGTAGTAACTTGTTAGGTGACTGCTTCTTAAATATTGAAATCATAAATATGTTGCATTTTTACTTAATAATAGGGTGCAACACGTAGAATTTAAAAGTTTCTTTTAATAAATCTTAAGTGGAGAACTTCTTTTTAATAATGAAGAAGTTGAGAAATGTCACAAAAATTATTAAAAAAATACTCAAAAATATTACTTAGTAATTTAAAATTAGCACAAAAGATAAATTTTCAAATTCGTAATCTCTACGAGTTGCATGACCAAAATAATAAAAATACAAAAGCTTATTAGAGTAATAGAGCCTATTATAACCCCCAAGAATTAAATATAGAATGGAGAGAATAAATTAAACAAAGCCTCAATATATAAATATTGAGGTTTTGTTTAATAGAAAAACCTTAATAAAAACCCTTAATATTGTTTAATAAAATACCTTAAATGACTTAAGATAATCGAAAGTATATTTTTCAAAATTATAGCATTTCAATTCAACATTACTAATGTTAAATTTAACTCTTTGGTACTCTGAACCGCACCATTATCTTTTTGGGGGAACTGGAGTAGATGAGTTATTCTAATTTGGATGATTGTGGTTAAAAAAATAAACTTTGTGAAATTAAATAGACTATTGAAATTGAAAATAAAAGCACAAAACCGCGGACCAAATCTGTTTTACTCCAACTATGGGTTGTAAATTTCAAATTATCGAAAAAAGTAGGGGCAATAAAGCAAGTTAATGGGAGCACCTGGTGGCTGGTGTGACAGTATCAGTGACAGGGATAGAGCGCAGTTCCTCTTAATTCTTCAAAAATCAAAAAATGAAATAAAGCGGGAACCATCCTTACATCTCTCTCTCCCTCTGAAAAAATTCTACTTTCTCTACGCTTTCTACATTATCTGCACCAGATTAGAATCCGCTGCAATTCTGCAAATCTCCTCGGCTCCTTCTTTTGGTGTTTCTTCTCTTCTCTGCAACACAACAGAGCCATGGCGAGAACAAAACACCTAGCCCTACGCAAACAAAGTCGCCCACCAAGTCGCCCCACAGCCACACGTTCTGGTTAGTGAAATTACTTAACATCACGTCTCCCTGAATTTTTAATCGGTTAGTGCGGATATATATTTTTTGACAGTAGGTTCAGATTTAGTTAAATATATATATATATATATATATATATATATATTTGTCAACTATATAAATTCAACTATATATACAGCTATAATGTGAGCGTCTGTTGCCTTTTATGTCTGTGAATGTCTACATAAGCATATATAGTTCGTTTTAGTTTTCGAGATTAACTTTTGTTGAGTTAATAGTTTTTTTAACCCTAATTTTGGTGATGTTATGCTTGAAATTTCAGCTGCAGCTGCAGCTTCATCTTCAGCGCCTCAATCGGTATGCTAATAACTCTGATTTCTGTGTGGTGTCGCAAATTTGAAATTATTATGGTTATTTATTTGCTTTTTGTTTGGGTTGAATCAGACGCCTACAAGAACAAGTCAGAGGACTGCACCTTCAAGTGAGTGTATATACTTGTAAAATTAATGTGCATTTCTTTACTTCTAAATGATGTTACTAAATGATGGGAGAATATTTGTTTGTTTTCAGCTCCGGGGCGGACACAAAAGAAGAAGACTCGTTACAGGCCAGGGACAGTAGCGCTTCGAGAAATTAGGCGCTTTCAGAAGACATGGAATCTTCTCATTCCAGCTGCTCCTTTCATCAGACTTGTAAGTTTTCATTGCTGTCTCTAAGCGCCACCGTCCACATGATTATTTGAGCTTATCAGCCACATGATTAGATGAAATAAGGGAAACTCCAAATCAATCATAGTTCGATTTTGTGCTTCGTTACTGTGTGATTTGGCTAACATGGGAGAATGAAGCTTAAAGCCAAAGCTGAATAATTGTGGTCTTCTTATTTGATATAGATAACAATGAGAGGGCTATCAGAGCTATGCCTTAATTGAGTGGACAATAGGTGAATTTCTGCACTAGCGAAGAAGCGACTGTTAAGAGTTTCACGGGACATTAGTTAATTTATGAGTATCAGTGAGTGAGACTAAATTGAAAATAATATAAAATAAAATAGTGAAGGGAAAAAAAAAATACTACAGAACGGAGAGAGTAAGTCCATTGAAAGAGGGAAAACAATCTGCATCGATAGCAAGCCGAAATTGACATGCTACTCCATAACTCATTTTCTCATTTTCCTTTGGACTGCATTAAGATGCACATTCACCTATTTTCTAGGATTTGCTTTCAAAATTGAGAATTTTGCTGATGTTAACAAGCAGAAGGAAGACGAATTTATTCTTTTCTTTGAGTTTATCGTTTCTCTCTATTTTGTTTAAGGTCAGGGTTAGCTGGGCTCAATTTCCATATCAATTTAACCAGTATTGGTATTATGCACTATAGTCCAAAGGAAGGTTATTTGTTGTAACGCACAAGTTCTCCCTTTCTATTTTGATTTCGGTTTGGGATTGGAGAGGCAGACCATTTATGATTAGCCTGACTTACAAAAGCGAAAACCAGTTATCCCTATTCAATTAGAGGGGAGTTGCTTATGTAAGAGATTTTCTGACTTCAGATTTTAAGAAGGTCTTCTGCGCTCTACATTTCAAGGAGCCCCTTGGACTCAGTTCATGGTTCTGGCAGAAAATGTGGACTAAGGAGTGCATGCTAAAAATCTACATTCTGATCATCTATTGCTGACTTTCTTCTGGATGTAAATGTGTTGTAGAACTGTTATCTTGATACCCTTGATGATAAATGGTTTAACTTATCCAAATAGTTACACATTTAAATCTTTGCATTTATTAATTTTTCACCAAAGCTAATTGTTTTTTTCCCCTCTTTCTTGTCTGGGGCAGGTTAAAGAAATAAGTTACTTTTTTGCACCAGAGGTAACTCGCTGGCAAGCTGAGGCTTTAATAGCTCTTCAGGAGGTACTACAACTTCTAAGAATAATAAATGGATCTGTTAGCTGCTATTTGGATCATTGCATTTAAGTTATTTGTAAGAACCATGTATCCATGAAGAGGACAGGAAAAGAGATTCATGAATATACTCGCCCTCATAAATCATCTAGTAGTTTTATATCAACAACATATTTAGTTTGGAATAGTCTCTGCTCCATATACCAATTAAAAATATTTTAATGCATTTTATAAAAATTCTACTCTTAATTCAGAATGTGCTTAATAATCTCCTTTAAAAGAATTCTTCAAATTCTAGAAAGTTACAACATCAGTTCCTCAACAAAATAATGCATGTGCAATTGTGTGGTCAGGTAGTGACTGAGTTATGAGAAGGGCCAATCCATTATCAAAGTGATATTCTTCTTTTTGTTAGCACTTTAGCGTACAGCAATTGGTAGGCAACCAAAGATGGCAAGGCCTACTAGTTAGCTAAGGAGGTTGGAGTTTCTGGAATATTATTGTACTTAGAGATTTCTAGCACATACTTTTGCGCCATGAAGGTTTTTCTACTTTGATTATGGTTGTGTATTTTCCCTTTATGAATCCTGCTCAACTAAGTCACTTTTTCTTGACAAACTGCAAAATACTATTAAGGTGTATTAATCAGGCAAGTTGAAAATAAACACTATATATCTGTTGGGTTTAGCTTAGCTAAGCTAATGTCCTGAATGGTACAATCCACAAATAAAGTTGCTACTTGACTTATTTGACTTCTTATGTGAAAATGTTCTCTACTCGAGAGGGCATATATTAGTTCTAAGTCTCATTGATTTCTATTAGCTTTTGTTTTGTTGTCATGAATTTCGGTAGTTATATATGCATCAATATACGACTGATCTTGCAGTGACAACATGGTACCTTCTCCTTCCATGAAGCTAGTCAAGTATGACACAGGGTGTCGCTAGTGTGGAATACCTTATTTTCTAAGTTTCCCAGCAAAGAATGAGGCATTGGGGAGAGAAAGGGCTTTCTTAGTGGTTATGCCCTTTGGCTTCCTTTAATATGCCCTTGAATTCTTTCTGCTATAACCAAAAGTCCTATGTGCTCTATCCCTTTCTGACTGCATGTATCTATAAGTGTAATTGCTATTAATGCATGGATGTAATTTCTCCATTTTAGACAATGACATTCTGATGTCCAGTAGAAACGGGTGGACTAAAAGGATTTTGCGTGCTGTGATTATTAATGAAAGCAGTTAGAATTGGACATCAACATAGTAAGTCCTTTAAGGCGGTAGGGCACTGTGTATAACATGTGAGAAAAAGGACACAGCCGTCGCTTGTTGTGGTAGCCTAAGCATCTGTCTTAGCACATCTCTCTGCTAGCATACACTTGGGCTTTCCTATGAGATTTTGTTTGAATCTGAAGAGCATCAATGATCTTATGACTTCAAGTACTTTATAGGACCCTAGCAATGTTTCTGAAATCCATTGTCCTCTCCTCTCAAAAGCAGTGGTCGAAAAACAGAGAGATATCATAGAGGAACAGTCAGCAGCAGAAACATGAAGTGTCTATTCAATGTCTAAATTTGTATATTTAGTGTTGATATGAACTATTATTCATCTTGCAAGCTGTAGCCATCTGGTGTAAAGTTTAGTGTGAAAGAGTCTATCCCATTCTTCACGCAACTCCCCTCAAGTCGGAGCATTGCAATCATGTTCAAACACTGCCTATTCTGTCAGGCAATTTATCTTTACTTGCGTGGACAGTGTAGTAATAGTCGTATGATCCTTGGAAAGCATACCTTTCTGTGGATTTTTTCATTATTTAATCATCATTAAAATTGCCAAATGTAGATGTGTGTACAAAGTAAGAAAGTCTATGAATGCATAGATTCTTATCCAGTCAACATTATGCTTTTCAGCCTTCGCTTGTAAAAGTACCTTTTTATGCTAAAATATAGTTTTTTTGCTTCCTGTAATATATGTCAAAATGAATACTCTTTCTTAAACACTATCAGTCAGAGTGATATAGTTTTCTTTGATGGTTATTCTGCAGGCTGCAGAAGATTTTTTAGTTCATCTGTTTGATGATTCAATGCTATGTGCTATTCATGCGAAGCGTGTTACACTTAGTAAGTTTTTCTGTTTCACCTCTTCCTTTTCTTTTTTTTGTTTTTTTTATAGTGATATTTTTCCTTCTCTCCTTGACCTTCCTCTACACCCCCTACTCATTTCCTTGTCGCTCTGGGGAATGGGCTGGCTAGGGCTGGTGCATCCAAAAACCTGTGTTTTAGGTTTCATAGACCTTGTCAAACTCCTGGTCAGCAAATTTTGTTACTCTGTTAGTTTTGGTTTCATAATAGAGATTGTAACAAACCATCAATGTGCATATTTTTTGTGTCCTAATTTTGTTCAGTCCAGTTCACATTGCTAAAAACGCAAAGTGAAATGAGGCTATCTCTTCTATTGCTTCTTTCTATTCCATAGGGATTCTTCCATCAGATCAGGTACACCCTATTTGGATACCGGAAAAGTCTGGGGTGTTTACTGCAGTGAAAAGATACTCCAATGATCTTTTAAATTAGTACTGGAAACAGAGGGGAGCAGTATGGCCTTAGGGGTTGTTTGGTTACAAGGATAAGGGATAAGATCTTTCAAACTGCCTACAGTATCAGGTACATCCTATTTGGATACCGGAAAAATCGGGGGTGTTTACTGCAGTGAAAAGAACTCCAATGATCTTTTAAATTAGTACTGGAAACAGAGGGGAGCAGTATGGCCTTAGGGGTTGTTTGGTTACAAGGATAAGGGATAAGATCTTTCAAACTGCCTACAGTATCAGGTACATCCTATTTGGATACCGGAAAAATCGGGGGTGTTTACTGCAGTGAAAAGAACTCCAATGATCTTTTAAATTAGTACTGGAAACAGAGGGGAGCAGTATGGCCTTAGGGGTTGTTTGGTTACAAGGATAAGGGATAAGATCTTTCAAACTGCCTACAGTATCAGGTACATCCTATTTGGATACCGGAAAAATCGGGGGTGTTTACTGCAGTGAAAAGAACTCCAATGATCTTTTAAATTAGTACTGGAAACAGAGGTGAGCAGTATGGCCTTAGGGGTTGTTTGGTTACAAGGATAAGGGATAAGATCTTTCAAACTGCCTGCAGTATCAGGTACGCCCTATTTGGATACCGGAAAAATCGGGGGTGTTTACTGCAGTGAAAAGATAGTCCAATGATCTTTTAAATTAGTACTGGAAACAGAGGTGAGCAGTATGGCCTTAGAGGTCGTTTGGTTTCAAGGATAAGGGAAAAGATCTTTTAAACTGCCTAGAGTATTGTTTGCTTGGTATTCGCTTGTTATATGATGTGCAATTTATATTTTTTCGTCTTTCTTGATGCTCAGTGAAAAAGGATTTTGAGCTGGCTCGACGACTTGGAGGAAAAGCACGACCTTGGTGAAGACCAGATTACCATCCTACCCCAACTAGATAATTGCACAGCTTCAGTTCAAAGAATCAGCCTCCACCTGGAGTCTACAAAGTTTAACCATTAGTACTTACAGATTGTTTCTATTTTAACCATTACCTCCTGTAATAGAATGGGTTATTTATGGTACATGATCTTCAACTTTCCATACTGTAGTATCAATTCTTACAACCACACTTTGACTTAGTTGGACGCTATGCCATGTGATTATAGTGGACGAGTTACCTATATGTCATGCAGAAAGTAGTCTATGTTTTAGGCTGCAGAGATACATCCTTTTGCCTTACCAGTTGTCTCGTCTCAATTCTCTTTCTTTCTTTTGTTCCTTGTTAGAAGGTAACTTGTGCTGAAGGAATGACAAGAACAAGGGAACAATTCAGGTCTTTACAGGGGATCCATTTTCGTTGTTGTCGCCTTTGTTGAATTGGATATTGATGAAGATGGCATTTGAAAGTGGGTGGGTGTTTTGCATTTTTATACTAAAACTGTGTTTCTTGCAAATTTACACCCTTCACGACTCGTTTTGGAATGACCTTGGAGCATCATATTGGAATTATAACCAGTTTTTGTATTTGGCGCAAGTATAGTTGGGGGTGCTTTCTGGCATATGTTCTTTTTGTAGCTATCAGGAATTGGGTGTGCGTTGGTCCTCACAATCAAGTTCTTCTCAAGACTCATAATAATTAACGAAGATCTCGTTTGCTCAGGGAGGACTTGATTTAATCTGGCACTCCTCATTTTGGAAATAAAAGAGGCCTGATTACGCTGTGCCTTAAACACAATGGGATAAACCTGACAAAAACTTCAATTCTCCTTCGCTTATTAAGTGAAAAATAGTCGTGGGTCTTAAATAAGCGACATGACTGATTCTACGAAGCTTTATTTTTCTAGTAGTCGGCCCCGTAATGCTTCCCTTCATTTGCTTGCCTCGTTTCAGCTTAGAATGCCTAATGTAGAGACAATGACGTAACAGTTGTCAGGAGATAAAATTGGCGGAAAGATTATGTAAAACCTCATTATCCTTTCAATTTAATAATCCATTGGCAAGAGTTTGTGCGCCATATAAATAAAAACTATGAAAGAGCCTTGTCTAAAAATGTAATAAAAGAAGGAATGACAACTGCAAGTCAAAGGGAACGTGTAGTTTGTTTAGTTAGGACCAGCCGTTGTTTCATGATAACAAATGCAGACAAATCTGTCGAACCATTCAGGACAACTATAAAAAAACAGAAGCTGTCCTAACTTATTTCACAACAAACTCTCTGTTATTCCTCTTTTCTTGATCCTCATTATTCTTATCTTTTATTTCTCAACTTTTGTACCTAAATGGATCAAAATCTCCATCATCAGCCCAAGCTCATGCACCACCGCTGTTGCAGCCATGAAGGTACAACCCTTTGCCGAGGTTCAGTTTCTTTCTTTGTTCATGTTATAAGGGGACTTTACCTTTTTTTTCATTTTTACTATTTATTTTTTTTGTTTTTGTTTTGGAAACAGAGGTTAATAGTATGGAGTGGGAGTTCATCAGCATGAGCAAGCAAGAAGAAGATCTTATTTACAGAATGCATAAGCTTGTTGGAGACAGGTAAAGGTTGATAACTAGATTTGCAAAGCTTTTACCAGTAGTTTCATATATCTCATTAAACTTGGAAAACACTGTCATAAGCAGGTGCAGATGTAGTATTTGGTTATATTAATAGGTGATGCTATACTAACTGAAACTTGTTGTTCTCGGCTTTGAACTATATATATGGTTGAGCAATTTTTAAAATAAATCTACACTAAGTTCGCACTCAGACACAAGACCGTACTGGATATAATCAGGAGCAAACGTAGCGCATGATACTTTGCTAGCTCCTGCTAAGTGGAATACGTAGGATTTTGCATAAAGGGTGTCATAATTTGAAGAAATGACAAAAGAATAAATCACCATAATAACAAACAATGTCATTTTCTACACGTATCCCAAATATTTCAATTTTTCTTATAAATATCTAGTGAAAAATTTCGACCAAGTGGTGTCCCGTGACACTGCATGATATATACGGTGCTGTACTCTTCTTAATGTTTTGAATTCTCGTGTGTGTTCATAAAAATAACTTTGGTTGTGAAGGTGGGGACTGATAGCAGGGAGAATACCAGGGAGAACAGCAGAAGAAATAGAAAGGTTTTGGATAATGAAACACAGTGATGGCTTTGCAAACAAGAGACGACAATTAAGAAAAGTATAGCTACTATATATATGATCTCTTCTAAAAGCTTTTGAAGAAAGCAGTTTCTCTTTTTCTCTTTTCCATTTTGTTTGGGGAATCCTGGGGACCCTACTCTCGGTTTTATTATTTCATTCTTCCTTTTTATTGTACTTCCACTCATGGATTTCTATTTTATGCCTTTCTAATATCTTTTGGTCGTGCTTCTAGTTTGGTTGTTATGTCCAGTATATGTAAACTAGCTATAGGTGGCAATACTATTATTGTGGGGGCTTAGCCAAATATGTATCCAGAATATTAACTAATCATGCAAAATATTATTATTATATCCACTAATATTTTAATTTGTGGCGGTAGGTGCAATTAACAAATGCTCTTTTTCAAAGAAAAATATCAAGGATCTATTGATAAGGTTTGTCTTGGTTTCCCATTCGATGTCTGATATTCGTTTTAGGATCCGGATTAATTCGAATTCACGCCTCCATATAAGATTAATTAAAGGAAAAAGTGCTCCATATTATGATTTTTTTTATCCCTATCTAATTAAGGTTCAATCAGCCAAATGTTGCACCCCAATCAATTAGTTGTAGAAATTTCAACGGGTATACCTTTAAAGGGGTTAATAATTTTAACTTTTATCCATGTCTTTAAAAAGTTTAGCAAATGTAAACATTCACCAAGTTGTGGTTATTATATTGCAGAAGAAAGTGATAAAAAGCTGTTGCTTATTCGAAGGTTCAAGCTTTGATTACCTCAATTCCCTCTTCTATATATCTTGTATTTTTTTTATTTTATTAAGTCTAGTCTAAGCAAAAATGTTGGCACCTTTAGCAACAAATTAAGTATCAAGCTACCATTTAGCAAGAAAAGAAAGTATCAATCAATCATTTTGCAGAAGAGAAAAGTGTCCTTGAGCTTCAAAAGGGTCCTATTATTATCAAACTTAACGGGAAAAAAAAGGTTAGACGGAATTAACTTTCTCTTAGACATGCCTCAGCCCACGCGTTTAAACACCAACTTAATAGTAATTGACATTATAGTTTATTTCCATCATTCTGATGATTCATGCTTAATGTTACGCGGCGCCTTCCTGAGGTTCCTTCGAAGGGCGACGTAAGGCTAAGCAACTGATGTCAATGCAGTTACTATTTTCCAACTAAGGTTCCCTCCGTACGCTAGACGAGATTGTCAGTGCCGTACGGAAAAATCAATGTCAAGAGCAATTGAGAGAACATAAATGAGAATTGAGAATGAAAGAAAGCTTGATTGCATTAATAAAAGCTATTATAGAAAAGCAACACGGTATCGAGGGGGAGAGATACTAGTACAGAGAATTGTTTGCTTGCTAGAAAGTTTGATTGCTTGATCCCCCCTAATAGTGCTTGAAAAAAAACCAAAGTTACAAGACTAGACCTAACTAAGCTAGAGGAACATAATGGAAGTACATAAAATAAAACAACTTTATATTTACAATAAAAAGGACTTAGTTTTCTCCAAGGTAGAAACAGGTCCGTTGTCAGCAACCTTGTCTTTGGCATCGCGGTCTGCGTGCGCGACGCTGTTGGCATTTGCCTGCGGCTGGGCGCTGGCGAGGGATATCGGTGGGGAAACAGAGGTACATGCACGCTTGTCACTTGGCGCGGCCAAGTCCACGGGGCCGTCTGTGGCACTAGGGTTGGGAGGCTTGCTAGAACGCCACAGGGCGCGTCCAAGGGGTCATGGAGCATGTCTAGAAAACCGCCCATGACATTCTCCCCCACCTGAGTTGGCGACGTCCTCGGTGCCTTACTTGCAAGATAATTATCAATTAGGCTCTTGAAGGCTTTGAGGCTTGTTCCCCTCTCCCAAGTATTCTCCTCTGCATTGCAGCCCTGCCATTTCACCAAGAACTCTTGCTGATCTTTCCTTGAGGCATGAATCACTCTATCATCAAGAATAGCTTCAACACGCCTTTTCCCCGTTGAATTAGGGCGTCGAATACTTGGTATTGGGAGTTGGCTCCGTGAAGGATCCTCTATGTCTTCCCAAAAAGGTTTCAGAAGACTGACATGGAAGACGGGATGGATTTTCCACCAGGCTAGGGTATCCACCCGGTATGCAACTTTCCCAATACGCCTTTCAATAGACAAGGGTCTAATGTATTTTTATAATAGGCGCGAGTCATGGACCCCTGCAAACAAGTATCGCTTTGGAATTTAGACCATCACTTTGTCTCCTACTTGGTATTCAACAAAGCGACGATTTTGATCAGCATGCCTCTTCATCCACTTTTGGGCTTTGACAAGATAGCTCAGCACTATCTCCAAATTTCGCTTCCATTCGTTTGAGAAGCTAGCAGCTCGAGGAGATTTTGACATGTTTGGTGCATTCACGGTGTGTAGGAGTAGCGGTTGTTGTCCGGTAACAATTTCAAAAGCACTTTTGTTTGTACTAGAGCTCTTTTGTGAATTGAAACACAGTTGAGCAGCATCCAGAAGCTTCACCCAGTTCTTCTGCGATCCGGTTACAAAGTGGCGGAAATATTCCTCCAGCATGCCATTGAACCGCTCCGTCTGGCCATCAGATTGCGGATAAAAACTTGAGTTGTGACTCAGTTTTAACCCGAGACACTTAAAGAGTTGGGTCCAAAAGTTGCTAGTGAAGCATGAGTCGCGATCACTAACAATGCCTTTAGGCAGACCCCAATATTTGACGACATGAGAGAAGAAGAGCCGAGCTGTATCCTTTGCTGAGATGTATTATGGGGCTGCAATAAAGGTAGCATACTTGGAAAACCAATCTACCACAACCAAGATAGTTGTGAGATCTCCGACCTTCGGCAATCCGGTGATGAAATCCAGGGAAACATTTTCCCAAGGTCTCTTTGGGACAGCTAGTGGTTCCAAGAATCCCGCTTATGTTAAGCAGTCTGACTTGTCCTTCTGGCATACTAGAAAGGTCTTCACATACTGAGCGACGTCATCAGCCATTTGAGGACAATAATATCTACGGCAAAGTAATGCCATGGTGCGGTCTTCACTGGGATGGCCGACCCACAAAGTATCATGACATTCCGCCAGAAGAGTCTTTCGCAGAT